AACTCAAAGATAGCGCATAACATTGCTTCTCGATTCAAAAGAGAGGAACGCTATTCGGGAAAAATAGGTGAAGATATCAACGAGGTAATCGATAACTATTGCGACGCCGCTGATGATTATAACCTCAACGAAGAGCAGAAGCTGCGATACTTTCACAATGTGTTTGATGGCGAAGCCAAAAGATTTTATCGCACTTCCATTGCTGGTACCCAAGCATCCTTCGACTCAGCGGTTCAATGGATGCTTCAAGAGTTCAACAGCATTACGCGGCAGAACAGAGTTCGAAAATTATTGCAGAATCTTCGCCTGTCACAGATTCTCAAGACAAAAAACTGCTCCGTCAGCGAAGCACTAGAAGAACTTCGCGAAACCATCACTCGGTACACACCACAAGGGCCCCAAGCGCATCGATCAGATCCCGATAAGACAGAGTACCTTCACGACGCCGTGATAGGAACAGAATGGGCTAAGCCTGTTCTGACTCAAAGCCTTGCTTCCACACCGCCTTGGACTTTTCAGCAGATGTATACTGCACTGGATGCAGCTTGGCTCCAAGAGCAGAAACAGAACGAAAGCCGTAAGCGTGACCCCCCCAGAACGCCGTCAATGATGCCAACCCTCCCCGGCATACATTTCCAAAGACAAAATACATACGGTATACCCCGTCGACCTGGATCCTCCTCGTCAAATCCTCGTGGCAACTTCTCTGGACCGTCTAAACGTTTTAAGGATTCCATAAACGGAAAGGACCGTTTTGGGAACGTACGATGCTGCCACAACTGTGGTAGTAATTATCATTTCATCCGAGAATGCTCTAGACCCGCCTCTGTCATACGCAATGTACGACGCATGATCAAAGCGCGCCCTAACCACGTCAAGGACATACTGTATGAACTTAGTAATCAAGTGGAAGACATCATGCACCATAATGACACTTGTTTCGAAGACTTCGACGAACCAAATGCCCCAAACAGCTCTGAGTCACAACACTCAGATGGCTCTGACAGCGTGACTGACAGTGACACCGACGAGACAGAAGAAGCTGTAAACAACCACGTGAAAAACGAATCCTTTTACGGCTACAAGACCAATTCTCATCGGACTATAGATCCATCGGATTTTTAGCGAGCGACAGTTCCCATCTCCAAAATAATACACCTCAAACTGTATATTTTGAAACTGTCTGCGCTAAAAAGAGATGCAAGTTTAAACTTGAACGTCGTTCTACGATAAGTCGCCTTATTCGTTTTCCACGCCACAGCGAAAGAAGACCACGTCACCACGAATTCGTTGTCTACAACCAGAGCCACATTGCTTCAACTCAAAGGATTCCTTGGCAAGGAGCATGTCTTGACACTGGTGCACAACGCACAGTAATCGGCTTAAGACAGGCTAAGGCATACTGTCGATACACTGGCACAAAGTTTAGACTCGTTTCCAACAACAACCGCTATCGCTTTGGCAACGACCGTCAACCCTCGTTAGGCTCTTTGACCATTACGATACCACTTTCGGACGCTCACGCTACCATGGAACAAGTAGATGTAGTTAACTCAGACGTACCACTACTAATAGGCTTAGATCTACTAGATAAGTTTGGAATATTCGTCAACACTATCACGAATCACCTTCATTGTCCTCAACTGCAACTACGAACTCCCCTGCTTCGCAAGAACGGCCATGTCTATCTCGAATGGCCAAAACGTGAGCACATATTTTTTTCTTCTCCAGAACTTTTGCGCCTTCATAGAGGATTCTCCCATCCTGCCACGGATAAACTCTACAACCTGCTCCGCATGGCTCGACCTTACGAAACGAACCAGGAAACTAAACAGGTCCTGGACCAGATTAAACAAGCGTGTGACACTTGTCAGCGTTTGGGACCAACCCCCATTCGTTTCAAGGCCTCCCTTCCAACGGAGGATTCCGTTAAGTTTGGGGAAGAACTATCTATGGACCTCATGTTCCTAGACGGAAAGGCCTTACTCCACATCGTCGACACGGCCACTCGTTTCTCTGCTGCTGCCTTCCTCGATGAAGACTTCGACCAAAGCGTTGAAGGTATTTGGTTAGCCTTCATTCAAATATGGTGTACCATGTACACCGGTTACCCAAACCGTCTCCGCGTTGACCAAGGATCATCCTTTACTTCTGAACGCTGGCGCCAACTCACTGACCACGCCGGCATTCAGCTCAGAATTTCCGGAGTCAAAGCTCACAGCTCCCTTGGAATCGGAGAGCGACTCCACGAACCTCTGAGAAGAATTTACAGAAAAGTGCGAGCTGACTACCCCCAAGCACACAAGAAAATTCTTCTCAGCATAGCGGTAAAAGCTATGAACGACACAATCGGAGAAAAAGGGCTTGTACCCTCATTTCTCGCCTTCGGGATAACTCCTCGTTTTCCCATCATCAGCACTGAGCTTCCAACCCAAGAAGAACGAATGAGACTACTGACGTCTGCTCAGATAGAAATGAATGCAATCATAGCCGAAAGAAGAATACAAGCAGCATTAACAAGACAGATACCTCCAGCAGCCGATAGGACATATCAACTAGGAGACGAAGTACTAGTCTTTAGTGAACAGGATAAGAACTGGTTAGGACCATTTATAGTTATGCATGTTCAAGGAAGAATGATAACTATTCAGAACAGGGAAGGAACATACAGGCAAATGTTCAACGCCTTCCAACTCAAACCATATTACCGAGGTCACAGTCCCATTATCCACTATCAAACAAGAATATTCCGTTCTCCCCTTGCTCCAAAGACTCCCTTCTCTTCCTTTATCACTGAAGAAATCAAACCTAGTGACCCTAGAGCACGCCAGTTCTATGCAGCTAAAAAGAAGGAGATAGAAGGACTCATCAAGAGAGAGACCTGGAAAATTGTTACTAAGGATGAAGTACCACGTAATGCTAACATTATGGGAGGCCGCTTCGTCCTAACAATCAAAGACTCCGGTACGAACAAAGAAGTCCACAAGGCTCGCTATGTTGTTCAAGGTTACGCTGACAAACTGAAATGTTCTTTAGTTCACGATAATCCTACGGCCAGACAGTTTTCAGTCAAAATATTAATAGGGTTAGCAGCAGTATTTAGCTTTCGACTATTCTCAACTGACGTTACGCAGGCTTATCTTCAAAGTGCAGAGAAGCTAATGAGAGATGTGTACATTAAGCCGTCACCAGAATTTGAACTTGGTCCCAATCGACTGCTTAAGCTGTTAAAACCACTATATGGCCTCGCAGATAGTGGAGATTACTGGGGAAGGACCTTAAGAGACCACATCTTGAAAGACGTTGGAATGAGTGCAAGTACCACAGATGGGGCACTCTTTTTCAAGAAGATTGCGAATCAGCTCGCGGGTCTGTGTGCTACGCATGTCGACGACTGTCTACATGCCGGAGACGCAAAGTATTTGAAGCTAAGTCAAAGTATTGAGAAGAGGTTTCAGTGTAGAGATAGAGAATTTGACAGGATACAGTTTAGCGGTGTCAATATTGAGACAACCAGCAACGGATTCTGTATCCATCAAGAACGCTACATCAAAACTATTGATTCTCTACCTAAGGATGTCACCTTTGCGCAGTATAGCTCTCTTCGAGCGAAGCTAATGTGGCTCCTACAAACCAGACCTGATATAGCATGTGCTGTCGCTCAATCAACGCAAGTCACCGAAACAAGGTTCAGTTCAGATCCGTCAACCCACAGAAAGCTTCTCAACTCCGTTGTTCGTCATATTAGAAAAACCTCCGAACAGAGACTTCTTTATCCAAAGTTAGACAAAGGCTCTCTCCGACTGCAAACGTATTCGGATGCTGCCTATAGCAACAACCATGACGGAACGTCCCAACTTGGGTACATCGTGTTCCTGGCTGACAAGGAAAACAAGTGCCAGCCGTTGTATTGGTCATCACACAAGTCCAAAAGAGTTTCTAGATCAGTCCTAGGAAGCGAGACTATGGCCTTCGCCGACGCCTTCGACATGACTTTCGCCATCAAAAAGGACATGGAGATAATGACGAACCAACCAATTCCTATTTCGATGCTCACAGACAGCTTATTGCTCTTCGACGTGATAACCAAGTCAACAATTACCACAGAAAACTATTAATGATCGACATCAAGGTGGTTAAAGATTCATATCAGCGGAACGAACTACGGAATATCGGTTTCATCCGCTCCGAGAACAACCCTGCTGACGCCCTCACAAAGGTTAAGCGATGCACTGTTTCTTATCAAATACTGACGGATTCAACACTACGTCACTCTATCGAACAGTGGATCGACAAGTCGTGAGGCACCCGAAGGTGCCCAATTTATTCTTAAGAGGAGTGTCACAACTTTTACCAGAGTCTATCAATACCGTAATCCCTAAGGTTGTGCCACCTGTCCCTAGTGGGTGGCACTACCTCACGTAGACAATTCAACTACCTACAATTTGAGGATCCTCCTAAAGGATCCTCATTACCTAAACGGGCAAACGCCTAATTAAGCCTGATAGAGGCCCATTTATAGGTAGCACCCCACTAAAAGGGGGGGTGAGTACACTTTTAGTCCACTCGACTTGGCGTCGAGTGGGAGTATAAAGGTTGAGGACGAAGACGGTGAACGTCTTCGTCCCCACACAAAACAAACTTACCCCAACAAACCCAACCGCACCATCCGCAGCTAACTAAAAGGCCCGTCCTCCTGCCTTGCACCTCGCGCCACACCCGCCTGTGCCCCCCTCGCACACAGAGCCCCAGTGGCCCGCGCCCCCCGTGGACACGTTTCAGACCACCCGCCCGCTCCCCGGGCAAATTCTGACAAAAGGTACCCCGAATGCATTGATGCTACCCTGAACTGCTACTATGTTAACATGATTCGTGCTGCTGCTGAACCCGCAGCTAAAAATATTGGAGAGCCTGGAAGACTAAGCTGTACGAGTGTACAAGGCCGAGGTCATGGCATGCCTAGACCTTTCAATCCCGCTGCACTGCGAATCTCTCCTAAATTAAATTAAATAAGCCGATGTTATTGCCCATGTCACGCTCTCTAGATCATTTATTTCCTGCTCATAAGGCTTCATCCTGGCCAGCATTCGTTTGCAGAAATCTGCCTCTCGTACCTGATTTAAAAGACCTGCTCTCTCAAAGTGAACAGGATACGCTCCTGCAAAGTCCCAATCGATTAAACAAATATTGTTATCACCCTCCAGAATGATGTTTCGCGGCGCAACGTCCATGTGCGACATAACCATCTTCCCAAACTTGCCCATAAACGGAGGTATACTCGCATACGCTCTGTTGTATCTCTTGCATACATCAAGCTTGTGAGTAAACCAATCTTCCAACTCGCGAACAGAGTGAAATGGTCCTGCTCCAAGTGTCGTAAACCAAGTACCCCTCGATCGTCCACCGCCAATTGGACCTGGCCGGTCCACATGCAATGACTGCAGCTCGGCAATAGCGCTCGCAGCCTGGTCACACACGCGTTCACGACGTGCCTCACTCATATCGTCCCAACAGTCCTTCAACACCTCACCGCGCACGTACTCCATCACAATGTAGGTGACCTTCGTTTCTTCATCGACTGGGACTTCGAAGGATCGAATGAGGGCCTCCTTTAAGACAGCATGGGCGGGCATGTTTGGACATGTATGGACGTCAGCGTGCACCTGATTGGTCCATTTAATACTTTTCTTAACAGTATGATGGCACACACAAAGTTAGAATAATGGAATCTGCCGCTACCAACGTGCCATACGAGAGCACACCATTGGCTGTCGCCTACCGCACAAGTGCGATTGAATTCAATCTTGATCCAATTTAGCATACATTAAAATTCAATTTAATCATTTTATTGACGTCCCTGAATGCCAGTACACGGGGATCGCGATATAGTGCCTCCCTCTGTCAGTGGGCCGAAAACGGCACTATATCGAACCAGGCACTGTAAGATAATGAGATTTGCGGCTTTTTTGCAGCCACTTCCTTGCATCACTGCTCAGAAAGACCGTTCGCTTCCCTATCGATAGCCCGGTATGATGCACCCCTTGAGCCAATTTACGGATCACGGCGCGCTGACACAATACATTAAATTATTGGACATGTAATATTTTGAAAATCGCAAACATGTACATCCAAACATGGCTGTCCATGCTGTCTTAAAGGAGGCCCTGACACGTGGAACACGCACGGACGTGTTGGCAGCAACAAACTGCATGTTTCTTGCCCGAGTTTGCCCGGGTTTGCTTGCCCCGAGCCATGATTTGCACTACTATTGGCTACTGGGCGTTAATATATGATTTGAAACTAAGTACGACCCTACACTGCAAGCTCAAGTTATGTCAGTGTGTAATGACAAATGTCAATCATATATTGGCTACTTTTGTAAGTTTGTAACTTTCGAATTTGGACGCTGTGCTCCGGTGGACGCAGTGCTTGCCCTTTGCCGAAAACATCCTCAACTCCCCCCTTGCAAAAATCTATGCACCTGCCATCTCGCAAAGGCAACCCAACTCTACGAAGCACCTCTCTGCCGACTACTTTCCTGAAAATGGCTTCCACACCTCAATGCCACGTGCGCCGTTCTCCGCGCCTCTGGCGCATCTCTCTGACTCCCACCATTCTTAAGACGGGGACCACCAACGCAAAGTCTCTCATTATTGCTTCCTCGTCTGCAGCGGACGTTTCTGACCAAATATTATCCCCCCCTCCATACGGTACGCAGGACTGAATTCTTTGTCGTTAAAAATCCTGTTGGCTCTGACAAAAGTCCATCCCCGTCCGAGATCTAAGGGCTTTGTGAATTTTCGGGGTCGAGGATAGTTTGAAATAGCTTGGTGCAATGAAAGGAGGGAGAATAGAGCTGCGGTTGCGGTTAGTGCGGTCGTAGCAGTGATGATTCTATTGCCGTGCATTGCGTAGGAGTGATTAGATTGAGAAAAAAGGAGGGGAGGCGAACGGCGATACTGGGCAGTGGTTGTAGATCCGTTTTTTGACCAAACAGCGCCGGCGATAGATACGCTATCCCGCGGAGTAGTAAGGAGAGAAGTAGGGGGTGAGATCAATTATTTATCCCGGTGATCTGGGATCACCCGCAATGGCCACGTTCTGGGTCGGAAGCGAGCGACGCTGCAGCGTCTCGCGTCCATGTCGACGCGTCCCTGGGGCGAAGTTGTTTGACGCTGCAGCATGTCACGTCTCTGTCGATGCGTCCTCGGAGCGAATTTGTAGAACCCACAGTGTCCTCCCCGTTGCGTTCTGGCAATTTATGGCGCTGTATGCCTCTGTAAGTCAGCACCGTCGCTCTGGGACACCTGTCCACTACTAACGTAAGGGAAAGGACACCTGTCCACTACTAACGTAAGGGGAAGGCGTGTACTTACATTAATAAATTAATAAATGACCGGCAAACTCGGGCAAGCAAAGCAAACCCGGGCAAGTTAAGACCCTCCCTCATCGCGGATTTAATTAGTACGCACCATTCTACCGGACTATCTCCCGAGGACACATCCTTCTCTCGCCTTTTACGCGCAGCGGTGCGGAAGCCGCCAGCGATGTACAGTATGGCGCGCGCCCAGACCGCGCCGCCCACACGTGTCCCAGTCCTCGTACTCTCACACTCACTACTTTATCTGCATCCACATGCTAACCCCCGACATCCATGCAATCCTACTTGCAACATCTTTTTACTCCACAGTCAGTCAATAGACGAGCTATGCCTAAACTTGTACCTGCCCTCACATTACTCACTACCACGTCCACATCCACAACTCAAGTCGACTACTCCCGTTCCCCCAGTACTCGCGGAGACCCCCGTCCTTCTCCTGGCCTTCTCGCAGACCGCCGCAAACACGTGCCTTTC